ATAGATCCAAGGTTATTAGGGTTGCATGTACACTTAGGAAGTGTTAGAATGCTTAAAACCCATCAAAAGGAGCCTATGGTGCAATGTTTTAAAACCTGGGTTGACCCGGCCGGTTCAACCGGTTGGACCGTGACCCGGGGTAGAAAGCGGATCAATTGAGATCGGTTTTTTTTTGTAAAAATATGAACCGGATCGAACCGGCCGGGTTTCCCCTAAACCGCGGTTCAACCGCTTATGTCGAACCGGTTAAAACTGGATTGACCCATTTTAATAGGGTTTGGATAGTTGGATACAAGTAGTGAACGCCAAAACAACCAGCATTTGCGGTTTCTTTAATGTTTTTTGATGTTTAAACTTTGTGGAAATCAAATTATTGGTTTTATATGTTTATGCATTATGCATGAAAGTAAAAATATATAAAAATAGAAAAAGACCATAAACCGTGTTGACCCGGCGGTTCAACCGGTTGAACCGGTTGACTCATGAACCGATCATCACACCGGGTCAATAAAAACCCGGGTTTTAAAGGATTGATATGGAGATTTTCTATGATAACGAAGGTGCGGTCGCTTTGACCAAGGAACTGAGGGATCATGGCAGATCCAGACATATCGATAGAAGATATCACGTCATCAGACATGGGGTAGAAGAAGGACTCCTCGTACTCAAGAGGGTATCATCGGAGGAGAACCCAACAGATCCCCTTACAAAGGGACTGAGTAGGTAAGCATTTGCAGCATGCAAGGAGCATTTGATGGGTTTTGAGCAATACATAAATCCTATGGTGCACATGCAAAAGCCCAAAGCTTTGGATCTAGGTTTCTCTAATTGTACATGCAAATCATCCGAAGCTTATGAACCCTAATTCTAGCATACAAAATCCGAAATCAACATAAATAAACTAGTAAGAATGTTACCTTGATTGTCGCTTGAAGATCTTTACCTTATGAGAACCTAGCACCTCAAATGAGATGCCTATAATGAATCATAAACTCCAAGGCAACAAGGATGATCTCGGATAGAGGGGAAGGATGCTCAAAATCCGCTCTAGATCTATAGGCTATTACTGGTAGCCTACTTCTGAAGCCCTAAGGTTCCTTTTATAGGTGAGCTGCTAGGGTTTTAGTCAAAAACCTAACTGCTTTTCAAATGTTTCTAACTTTTGCTTGATTAAGTAGATATACCCATATCTTCTATAATCATTGGTAAAATTCACATAGAAGCAACAAGCATCCTTGTTGTTGATCTACAAGGCCCACATACATCTGTATGTATGATATCCAATAAAACCTTACCCCTCGCACAAGTTCCAGTGAAGGGTGACTTGATCATCTTTCCAAGTAATCAGGACTCGCACGTGTCATCGTCCCTAAGGTCGAATGACTCCAACACACCATCCTTTTGGAGTTGCGCTATGAGCTTCTTGTTGACATGTCGAAGACGACAATGCCACATGCATGCCTTATCCACAACATTGGATGAATCGATTTGCAATACATTATTTCCTAAGTTATCTACAACCATCACAATTTCACATATTGAATTACAAGGTAATGCTTCAAAATAGAAAACACCATTCAAATAAGCATTAATAGATCCAAATTCATTATTGAATTAAAATCTAAATCCTTGTCTGTGTAAACCATGAAAAGAAATAATGTTTCTCACCATATCAGACGAGTAGTAACAATTATCCAAATCTAATCCTAACCCATTACTAAGCACTAAAGAATAAACTCCAATCTTGGAAACAGGCGGCCATCTTCTATTCCCCATGATCATGTTCATCTTCCCGTGTTCCATATCCCTACTTCTTTTAAGGCCCTACAAATCAGAACAAATGTGAAAACCACATCCTGTATCAAGAACCGGTGAACTAGCATGTGATGAATTATTAGGTTGAATAGTATAAATACCTAAGAAGGTGGGCTTTATCTTCCCATCCTTGATCTCATGCAGGTACTTCAGGCAGCTTTGTCTCCAATGCCCTTTCTCATGGCAGTGGAAGCACTTTGCATCCTTAGGTTTGGCAGAGGGAGTGGCAGAACATCTTTGGTCCCACTAGAACATGAGCCATCATGGGACTTTCCTTTGAAGCACTTGTGAAGAGCCTTCCTCTTCTTCCCTTTACCTTGCCCAATAGCCAAGACAGGGGCAGTAGCAGTAGCAGTAGGAGTTGATGCAATAGATTTGTCCTTGAGATGGCTCTCAGCAGTCCTTAGCAGGCTTGAAGCTTGCTTAGGGTAACTTCCTGCTTGTTCATATGATAGGTCATACAAAACTGGTTGTAGCAAGGAGGTAAGGAGTGGAGAATGATGTCAATCACCAACTCCTCGTTGAAGTTAACATTTAACTTCAGCAAGCGGTCCACAAATCTCTGCATCTTTTGCAGGTGGGTTGTGATGGACTCTCCATCCTTCATTTTGGTAGTGATCACCAAAGTGATGATCTTGTACCTTTCATGCCTCGCACTTTGGTGGTACCTATCGATAAAATCTTGATGCATCTCGTAGGGATAAAAGTTGCCGTAGGACTTTTGGAGTTCAACAGTCAGAGTTGCAAGCATGATGCAACGGAATTTTGTAGCATCTCGCTCGTGAGCCTCGAACACAGCAATCTGCTCAGGAGTAGTAGTATTATGGTTGATTTCCTTCAGCTACTTGTCAAGGACATAATTTTTGTCCTCATATCGATTCACCATTCGTATGTTACGAATCCAGTCGTTAAAGTTGGCGCCATTGAAAATCACTCTCCCACAAAGATTCATAAGAGATAATGAGCCAGAAGGGTTTGAGCCAGAAGCGTTGTCGTTTGGAGTAGACATCTGAAAAAGAAAAGGAACAAAGTTTAGATTAGATAAAAGACCCCAATTAAACACCCAACACAATTATTTATAATTCAGAAGAGGGATGCCATAATCTAATTGCAAATAGTTTAAGGTAAGTGAATGACGATTCACTAATTTCCACCATGAAAAACAAAAAAGATGTATAAGTCTTAAATAAATTGAAAATCCTAGATCTTTTGAGATTCATTGATCTTTTCAATAGCATGTTTAAATATCGATTATGCCCTTCAAGTTTGTGACTGGGATACCGAGGATCACAAACAAGGTGTGAATAACCATGCAAATGTACATGGTGCACTTGTTGTCATTAACACCTAATCAATGTGCCGGTTAGCCATACACACTCGATTGATCTAGGACAAACATCAAGACACCCTTCGCCACCCTTTCCAATCCCAAATTAGTATGCCGGTTAACCACACATGCTTTACTAACGTCTAGGCAAGGTGCAAAGTGTAATTTCATGGATTGACATAGAATTTCACATTTTTCCTTAAGTAACTAAGATTGGGAATTTGTAAAAACATTTAGTTACTTTGAAATATTCATTATACTTATAATGAGGAATTAGTTTCCCTATCCTACCCGTTTGGCTAACGACCCTCCACCAATCAAGGAAGCGGTGGGTGTGAGTGAACACACATTAAACTGACATTTTATAGGCAACAACCTTATACCCCCCATCATAGATCGGCTTCGTGACACTACTAGAAAAACAACCTTTTACGACGCTCATTGCACGTCGTAAAAGGCTCAGACGACGCACAAATGCACGTCAAGGAAGGCCATGTCATAAAGCGAGACGATGCGCTTTTGCACGTCGTCTATAGACGATGCGCATTACGCGCAATTACGACGCGCGTTTACGACACGCAATGCGTATCAAGGAAGGCCCTGTCATAAAGGAAGACGATGCGCGTGTTAATGACACACAATGCGTATCAAGAAATCCATTGTCAAGAAAGGCCATGTCATAAATGAAGATGACGCACATTTTTGCGTATCATAACTTTAAATGTTTATAAAAATATTATTTTATTGATTTACTAACTTTCAAATTAAATAATACATTAAAAATCTCATAATACAAAATAAAATACCATAAATAACAAAGATAATTCATTTCTCTAATATGTTAAATACAAATAATTAGTCCAATATTGAGTAATTGTAATAAAAGAAATGAACTCAAGAGAAGCAGAATTTATATACAATTGCATTATCTAGCTTACTATGTGCCAACAACTCTCTGTGTGTTTGCTTTTGCTTGAGTCTTGTTTCCTCCAAAGCTTCTAGCCATCCAAAGTATGAGTCTTGCTTTTGCTAGAGTCTTGTTCATATCCAAATCAAGTAAAACATTGCTAGCTTATATTCATCAAGTCCTTGCCGTGAAGTCTTAGATAGATGCTTAACTGTAATATCTAATCCTTCTAGTAGGCCCTACAGATCATTATTGGCCATGTAGCAGGATCAACCTGCCAAAATAGTAAACAAAATTAATCAGAAGCTGAGATGTTACCTATAGGACAATCCAAAAACACAATAAATCCATGGACTTACTGTGGATCACTAATTACATACACCAAAGTAATGAAAACAGATGTTTGTTGGCCACACAACACACATAACAAATGTAGCTGAAATGGAACATACCTTCCTGGAACTGAATTGAAGTCACCACAGACTAACATTGGAATATTTGCACTTGCAACTATCTTTTCCAATCCTTTTAACAGTGTGTGAACCTTCAATTTTCACAATTATATAGTTTTTAAGTTATTAAACAAGAAGAAAAAGTGTATATATACAAACAATAGTGATACTTATCTTCTTTGTTGTCATTTCTCTTCGACAAAATCTACACTAAAAGAAATGTGCCCATGTATGTTAATGTCAAAATTCCTATGAGGGAAAATGGTCATAATAATTCATAACAATCTGAAAGAGTATTTTTGTCCGAGTGGAAAGTGAATCTTGATATATATATATATATATATATATATATACACACACACACACACACACACACACACAACACAACACAACACAATATCAATGTATGTCAGTGTATGTGTCTTCAAAGTTCACACCTGGATTTGCTCGAGTCATCTGAATCTTGATTTTGCTTGGCATGTGGCTTATTAGATATATTTTACTTCTCCTTCTCCTTCACAACCCCATTTTTAACAAGTTCTTTCTCTTCCAAGGTTGTTTTCTTTGAATTTTGATCCTTAATTTCCACCTTTGATTCAGGTTCTTTTCGTGACAGATCTGGTAAACTTTTCCTCACTACATATTAGATAACAAGATTTGTAAGCATCTATCTTACTAACAGTTGAGTAAGGAAAACTGAAATTTGCTTTGTACTTTATTTTTTTTACCCATAACAGCAACCTACTTACATATGTACGTCTCTTTACCAATAATAGCAATGTATTTGATTATTATTTTTTACTTATAATCACACATATAAGTTATACCTACCATAATAGCAATGTACTTTATCTTTACCCAAAATGGCAATGTTGCATTTTATACATATATATACGAGCATTATAAGTTATCTACTACATAATACTACTATCTGTAAAGAAAATATAAGTTTGTTGCTACCATGAGTGACATATTGCTATTATTGGTAAATAAATGTAAGGACGTTGCTATTGTTGGAGCACAGACCTTCAATACTCCTTCACAAACCAAAGAAACTTCTTGTCTTTAATGTTTGAGAAGTATATAGAGGAAGGAAGAAGTAACAGTAACTCAAAAAAAAAAAAAAACTGCACTCAAAGCTTCGTATTTCATTCAAGTAAAAGGTGATTATTTATATAGCCAACACATGCTAACTCTAGTAGGAAACAGTAAACCCACGTTCCATTTTTCCAGGTGAAATCCAACTCTCTACTACTCCTTAATACTCGGTCCTACATGACTCATTCACTTACAATCTACTACCATCTATTTAACTCACCAAAAATAAAATAAATAGTAAATTACTACTAAAAACAAGCTATCAAGATTAAAATCCAACATTGCTATATTGTTATTATGGGTAAAAGTACAGTATAATGCTTATATTGGTAGAAAGAGTATAATATGTTGTTATTTCCTGCAATATGCCCTTAAAAAGAAGGGAAAAAGGACAGCAGAAGTACTTGGAGGTCAATTTTTGGCTTTTACAACACGTCGATTTGCTTTTCCATCATCAGAACTGCTACTTCCACTTTCTGTTTCACTTGAACTCCCAAAACTCCTAAAGTAAGTCCACTTTTACAAGTTACAAATACAATATTATATGAAAAGAGATTTAAGTTATATATATATATATATATATATATATATATATATATATATATATATATATATATATATATATATATATATATATATATATATATATCAAAAGCAACTATTTGGACCTTCTCTTTGATCTTTTGCCAGGAAACCATCTCTTTTCTTTCTGTTTGTTCTTACACTGTCATACGTGTCTCTAGATAAACAGTGTCTATTACATCCAGAGGGAGGGGTTGTGGTACTTGATAATGGCCTGACATAACCACATGTTGCTGTGGAATCTGAGGGATTTGGTAGTTCATCCACTGTGCTTCTTGTGGATCAAGATTCTGCTCATGGTTTTTCTTACCAGGAGAAAAAGATTCAAAAAATAGTATAATATTAATTATATTATAAACAATTGAAAATGACAAATAATTAATATATAGGGCGTGGATTACCTTATCTTTCATGTTCCATTGTTCCATTTGAGGTAAAAATTCCTTCTGTTTTCCACTGTCGTGGTACTTCAACTGATGATACATGCATATGTTTAAATATCTATACATTTTTAATATCACCAGTGAGAGAGAGAGAGAGAGTGAGAGACATTACCAACATTCACATCAAGAGGGGGCCTTTGGTTCAACCAAGGAGATGGTGGTTGCTGTACAGAAAATAAAACTTTAATGTATAACCTCAACAACTTCAATCACAAAAGAAATTACATCTGATAAATTTTTGTTTTGAATGGGGCCATGTAGAGTACCCATATAATCATCTCAAATAAAAATGAAGATACCAATGTAATATAATAATGGGATGATGCTACACAAAGCAATGAAGAGGATAAGAAAGATGACCTTGCCCAGTATGTGTTAGGCCTCCCAGATTTTCCATATGAGAAACTCCATTTGTGACAACCCAAGTTGTTCCGTAACAATTCCCCGTTACCGTTAACGGAATATTCCAGTTTATAAAGTTCCGTTAATTAGAGGTCGTCAATTTAATAAAAATTTCATTCGTTTATATTTAATATGCCGTTAAGTCGTGATAAAAGGGAATAAAGACACACAACACATATTTCCATTAAATTGGAAAATGTTAGTTTTTAATATTACGACCACTAAATCGGGTGCGACCAAAAGCCCCGTATAACGGCAGTATCGGGTAGAATTCCACTGAGCTCCAACTCCCACCCATATATAAAGGGGAGTAAACCCCATTTGGAGGCTTTTAACCCTCTCTCTCTCTCTATACTCTCTCTCTAGACTCGTTTTCGCCCCGAATCCGCAACCAAACGCTTCCAAATTGTAAGTCTGCTTACCCTAGCCTATTCTAAATATATTGATTCATGTTTATAGCTAAAAATCCGAACTTAGAAGCTATTAGAATAGATTTTACGGCCTAAGCCCCTCCTTAGGCCATAAACCCCTTAAACAAGGCCAAAATGACCCAAACTTGTCCCTAATGGCTTCGAAATAAATAGAGGAATTAGCCTAGGAGTGTTTGCACATTTAAAACAATCTTTTTGGGGCATAAAAGAGAGTTTACGGCCCAAGCCCTTGCTTAGGCCGTAAACACCTCTAAACCTTGTCTAAATGTCCTAAATACACTCCAAAATCACCCTAGGGCTTAACACGTAAATTGGGGACTTATTCTCTTGGGTTTTGATCACTTAAACACATCAAAATGAAGAGTCAAAAGGAGTTATGGCCCAGGTAAGTACCAAGGCCGTAAACTCCCCAAAACATGCCCAAAATGTTAGTTTTGCCCCCCAAATTGCCTCAAACTACTTTTATAAAATGCTAGGAATGGTATAAGGGCTTAAAACTTCATTTTCTCCATGATATGAGAGTTATGGCTGTAAACTCCCATAGGAGTGTCCCTAGGACGTAAACTCCCATATAATGCCCTTAGGAACCTTAAACCTACTCATGCCCTTTTGGAAAAGTACTTAGAATAATTCCATGAACAAGTAGAAGCCTTAAAACACCCTAGAACCCATCAGCATGAGTTTACGGCCGTAAACTCATGGTGAGTAGTCCCTGGGCCGTAAACATGGTGTTAAGGGTTTACTCTCGGAGGGTAAACTCCATCCCTTAGCCATACACACCCTTAAACGCCACCCGAGACCCCCAAAGACTTAACCAAAGTGTTTTCCGCTCCTTTGAGCGAGTATATTTGTTTAATCAGTATTAAATATACTAATTGTATGTGAACATATGTAACCATATGTTAAATACTCCCCGGGACCCCCAAACACTTAACCCCTGAATGAACCTTTTAAATGTTTTTACATGTTTTATAGGGGGGAATAAAAGTTCAACATGCTAGTTATCATATCAATCACATGTGATTGATAAACCGCATGCACAAGATTTTACAACACTGTACACTGTTTTACCCAGTAGGATGTTGTAATGGTTTTTCAATCGTTTTTAAAACTCTCACTTATACTGTTTTATCTAAAATTCATTTTAAACTGGTTTATGAAAGATTCCCATGTTTTTCAAACATATTTTACAAAAGAATACAAATTATGATTTTTCCACGAGTATAAAGGCTTTTCCTCAAAGTTCCCTTTTTCGACGTATATTCTTATTTGTTAGTTACCGCTGCTTCGCTTTCACTTATTTTAAACTCCTACTTGATAACTCTTTCTCTTCATGATACGCTTATACCAGTTGTTGCTTCTATTTTGCTTATGCTTGTAGTTACTTATACTTGTTAGACGCTTTTACTTCACCAGTTGTCGTTTCCACTTCACGATACACTTATACTTGATACGATTATACTTCACGATCCGGTTGTTCCACACTGTATGAATGCACGCCACGATGATACATCTCCACTTATTACACACTCGGTCATAGTTAGATGTATGTATGTGCTTATATAGATACATATAAGTAACGATTGAAAGACTTAGGAAGGCTCGTCCGCCCTATTTCCTTTTCTTCGTTGAGATGTGGTCTAGTGGGATCGGATGGCCGTCCGAAGGTCGTTTGGTTCATTAGTTATATACTATGTATATGAGTAAAGACATACAGGAAATTCTCTAGTCAGTTCGGTTAAGAGTCTCTACCTCTAGTCTACACTTACTTTAGAAGCACACTACCCACTGTTTGGAAGTCTCTACCTCTAGTATATCACTTACATTAGATACCTACTCCCCTCTAGAAACACACTACCCTCTATTTGGGATGCATCTTCGGGATGCAGCCTTCTCCGTCGTCTAGTTGGTAACCAGAGTCTCTTGTAGGGAGAGCGGACATTGTGTGTATAGATCTATACGGGATTGACACCCCCGCACCCTGACTGCTAGCTACAGTCCACGGCCCACCAAGCCAAGGGGTGATAAATGTCATAGACGCTTGTAGGGCGTCAAGTACTCTAGTCAGTATGGTTACGAGTATCCTGGGTTACCTTATAATTCATGGCCTTAAGGTAACGGTATTTTGCCAGTAATTTACACTGTATACTGGTAACACTTTTTCAGAGTCACACTGTTTTGACCTTGCCAGATGTATCTTTCATTTGATACTGCCTGCGGTCTTTAGTCTATGTTTTGACCTTCCAAGATATACCTTTCATTTGGTATTGCTTGCGGTCTATAGTCTCTGTTTTGACCTTGCAAGATGTACCTTTCATTTGGTATCGTCTACGGTCTGTATTCACTGTTTTTGGTACGTTCTGGGGTAAGTTACCTTACCAGCTGTACCTTTCATTTGGTACGTTCTGGGGTCTGTGTTTCTATTTGATAGACAGAACTAGGCGTGTTGTCATTCGATAATTTCCTGGAGTCTATGATTCCTTTGCCTTAGTCAGCAGTCCTTACTGCTGAGGCATATGTTATTTCCCTGTCGTCTGTTGCTTTCTTTAGTAATCAAATTCAGTATTTTGATAATGATAGCAAGTTAGGGAAAACTAGTTTTTACCACTTAACACTGACCGATCTTAGGAGAAGGCTGCTTTATTAAAGAAAATATAGGATTTTCTGAAAAGAACTCTAATACACAGTAAACACTTAAACTAATACTTTATAAAGTTATTTGCATAAATGTCACTAAACACTTATGAACTCACCAGCATTTGTAAAAATGCTGATTATCGCTTTTCAAATAACTTGTATTCTCAAGGAATAAAAACACACAACACATATTTAATATTCCGTTAAGTCGTGATAAAAGGGAATAAAAACACACAACACATATTTCCATTAAATTGGAAAATGTTAGTTTTTAATATTACGACCACTAAATCGGGTGCGACCAAAAGCCCCGTATAACGACAGTATCGGGTAGAATTCCACTAAGCTCCAACTCCCACCCATATATAAAGGGGAGTAAACCCCATTTGGAGGCTTTTTACCCTCTCTCTCTATACTCTCTCTCTAGACTCGTTTTCGCCACGAATCCGCAACCAAACGCTTCCAAATTGTAAGTCCGCTTACCCTAGCCTATTCTAAATATATTGATTCGTGTTTATAGCTAAAAATCCGGACTTAGAAGCTGTTAGAATAGCGTTTACGGCCTAAGCCCCTCCTTAGGCCGTAAACCCCTTAAACAAGGCCAAAATATCCCAAACTTGTCCCTAGTGGCTTGGAAAAAAATAGAGGAATTAGCCTAGGAGTGTTTGCACATTTAAAACAATCTTTTTGGGGCATAAAAGAGAGTTTACGGCCCAAGCACTTGCTTAGGCCATAAACACCTCTAAACCTTGTCTAAATGTCCCAAATACACTCCAAAATCACCCTAGGGCTTAACACGTAAATTTGGGGACTTCTTCTCTTGGGTTTTGATCACTTAAACACATCAAAATGAAGAGTCAAAAGGAGTTTACAGCCCAGGTAATTACCAAGGCCGTAAACTCCCCAAAAAATGCCCAAAATGTTAGTTTTGCCCCCTAAATGGCCTCAAACTACTTTTATAAAATGCTAGGAATGGTATAAGGGCTTAAAACTTCATTTTCTCCATGATATGAGAGTTATGGCCATAAACTCCCATAGGAGTATCCCTAGGCCGTAAACTCCCATATAATGCCCTTAGGAACCTTAAACCCACTCATGACCTTTTGGAAAAGTACTTAGAATAATTCCATGAACAAGTAGAGACCTTAATGTTGGATTAATGTCTAAGTCCATAACTATAATTAGTAAGACTTGACCCGACCCGACATGGTCCATTTGGGTTGCATGGCATCATGCACTTGGATAGACTATAATGAGAGAAATAAGACACTTATGGTTATTAATATATTATAAGTTCTAGTATATTAATAATAAGAATAATGAGATTATTTAATTAGTATTGATCAAGAATTAATCTAGGATTAATTAAGTGATCAAAAGAAGACTAATTAAATATATGGGTTGATTGTGTAAATCATCCATACTTGTATAGTGGGCTAATGTTCCATGGATTATCTAGTTGGGCCAAAACCCATATGATGCTCCATGGTGTATTTGAACCCATGGATCCAAGGAAATGGAAATTCATGACAATTAGGGTTTACCCTAATTGTATAACTATATAAGCATCTT